CTAACAGAGCCCCGTATTTGTTCAAAATCAACGGTCAATACTTTGACTGCTTCCTTCACAGAAACTTGGTGATAAATTCTAAGCTCAGTCCGGTGGCGTTTGCTAAGCGAGTAGGAGCGATTCCTTATGATATTCTGATCCCTCCCACTTGACCTACAGGACTCTAGTCGGTCCGTCTGGTCATTTTACTTTTTTATTTGTACAGGTCCCATTTCTTGCCAAATTATCTATCGATTTCCCCCATGCATTGCAAATAAATATATTATTATTATTCTGGCGGGAATTCAAAAAAAGAATTTTGGCGGAAATTCAAAAAAAAAATATTTTGGCAGGGATTCTAAAAAAAAAATTTTGGTGCGAACTCAAAAAAGAATTTTTATCAGAAATTAAAAAAATATATATTTTGGAGGAAACTCAAAAAATGTTTGAGGGGAATTTTAAAAAAAGAATTTTGGCGGGAATTCGAAAAAAAAAGAATTTTGGCGGGGAATCAAAAAAATAATTTGGGCGCAAGTTCAAAAAATAATTTTTATCGGAAATTTAAAAAATATTTTTTGGCGGGAATTCAAAAAAAATAGTATTTTGGCGGGAATTCAAAAAAAAAGAATTTTGGCGGGGAATCAAAAAAATAATTTGGGCGGGAATTCAAAAAATAATTTGACGGGAATTCAAAATAATTTGGAGGAATTTAGATAAATTATTTTGGCGGAAATTCAGAAAAAAAATAATATTTTGGCGGGGATTTAAAAAAAAATTTGGTGCGAACTCAAAAAAGAATTTTTATCAGAAATTAAAAAATATATATTTTGGAGGAAACTCAAAAAAATGTTTGACGGGAATTTAAAAAAAAAGAATTTTGGCGGGAATTCGAAAAAAAAGAATTTTGGCGGGAATTCAAAAAAAATAATTATGGCAAGAATTCAAAAAAAGAATTTTGGCAGGAATTCAAAAAAAAAAGAATTTTGGCGGGGAATCAAAAAAATAATTTGGGCGGGAAATCAAAAAATAATTTGACGGGAATTCAAAATAATTTGGAGGAATTTCAATAAATTATTTTGGCGGAAATTCAGAAAAAGTTTTGGCAAGAATTTGAAATACCATAAAATATGGATACACTCTCAGTATTCTACAACTTTCTACTACTTTCTGGAACGTTTTTGAACTTTTCAGGACATTCTAGGACTATCTAAAATACCTTTTCTATGCTCATCTTATTTTTATTCTTGCTTCTAATGTTTTTTTGTATCATTGTCCTATAAGATTTTCCGTTTTTTTGTTGTTGAAATTCAGTTGTTTTACTAATAAAACAAATATAAATTCGATTCTCCAATAACCCCTCAACCTTTGAGGATGAACCAGAAGTGAATACCAGTGGGGCTACGCCGCGAATTTTCCGCTGGTACTTATCTATTTCCGTTCAGATTAGTCAAAAGAATACAGTCGTAAGACCATAAGTGTGATTGTAAAATCACAATTACACTATAAATCTGTGGAACGGTGAAGACAGGGGTGAAGACTCCGCCCCTAACTCTGCCTATATGAACCCTCAAATACCAAGCATTAGTATTCAGTCTCTTCTTTCCCCTAATAGATTCCCAGACGTCCTTCTGTATGGACGTCGGGAATCTATTCCCATTGATTTTCTTGAAAATCCTTTTTTCCCTATTCCTACACACTGTAATCTACTTTATGTTCCACATATTATTTTTTGTCACATGATCAAGATTTTAAGGTGAGTCAAACTAGTTTTGGAAAATGTGTTTTTTTAGAAAAGAAACCCAATAACTTTTTCTCAAAAATTAAAATTTTTGAAACGATCTGAATCGGAAAATGAAGAAAATTAAGTCCGAATGGCTTGGTTTCTACGAATTCTTTTGAACTCTGGTTTTCTAAATTTTGTTAAGAATTTCAAAAATTCGAAAAATGAGTTTTCACCATGTAGGGGCACCTAAACATTACCCAATCAATCAATTTTCTTAAAATTTATACCAGATGCGGTATTTTGACTTGGTGATATTGTGGCAAAGTTTCAAGATGCTTTCTTTTCGTCTTCTTGCATTTTTGAAGCTCTTAATGTTTCCCTGAATTTGGACTTTGAGACAATTTTTGCCCATTCTCAGTGTTCGTTTCTCTCAAAAATTCGTATAGATTTTAAATTTCATTTCAGAATTGCTGACTCAATTGTTTCAAAGAAAGCTCATTCAATGGTGGAGTAACTTCGTTGAAAGACTTCATCAACTGATGTAGAATTGAGAGATCCGATGAAGATAAGAAGATATTCATTTTTGAATTTGAAAAAATTGTATATCCAATCTGGTCAAAATCTGAAATTGGATTTTTCTATCACTGAATGTTGAAGAGATAAAAGATCGCTACGGGATTTGAATCGCTTCTTGAAGTTGTGGATAAACGAGATTTTTCCCAAATCTGCACCGCTTTTCAATTTCGGAGAAAACGAGAACTTTTTCATATTGGATTGTGATAATGAATAAGAACATGATGATGAATAAGAAGCAGAAGGTCAAGAAAAATCGGTAGAAGAAGATGAAGAAGTATCGGAAGAAGATGAAGAATAAGAAGAAGACGAAGAAGACGATGAAGAAAAATTGGTAGAAGAAGATGAAGAAGTATCGGAAGAAGAAGATGAAGAAGAAGATGATGAAGATGAAGATGAAGAAGTATCGGTAGAAGAAGATGAAGAAGAAGAAGACCAAGAGGAAACTCGTGAGATTGTGAGAATTCAAAATTTGCATATCATGTTCTTCATTCCAGGAAGTGACGAATTATATTCTATCATCAATTATTGATGAAATAATTTTATTGGACGTGAATAAAATTTTATACTACCGATAGGTTGTCAATCACAAACAAAGTCTTTGAAAATCCACTCATTTTTTAGTGAACAATTTTTTGGTAGCTTTCTTAGTTTTTTAGATATGCGTCTTTTAATGCAACTAAAACGTTGTCAATCACAACCTTGAAGCCCTGCTTTTGTTTACATACTTCGAAACTTACAGATACTTCGAACAAGTCAGAACCTATTTCTTGAGGACTTTAGAAAAAAGCTCTCTATTCTGCGTCCCTGCAGCACCAAGAAAACGCTAAAAAATCATATAGCTGACCGTGAATAAAACAAACATAGCTCCGTCTCTCATCCCAGCGTTCTATTTCCTTTTTGAGTGATAAAATATCTGCGTCTCTCACCCCTCGCTTCCCAGTGACCTCTCTCCTACGAAGCGTAAATCATTCATTTTTCTACACAACTATGGCTACTTCCTGAATTCTATTGATTTTTACTGATTATTTCGAAATTTACACGATGGAGTTTTCAAAGAAGGTGAGATTATTGTAAGAGAAAAAGCATCATTTTCAAAAAATGATTAAAAACTCTGAACTTCTGAAATTCTGAAAGTTTCATATTCCGAAATTGAGAATTTCAAAATTTCCGCAATTCTGCGATTTCGAAATTTGAACACTCAAAAATTCAAAAATTTGAATTTCTGAAGTTTCAAAGTTTTGAAATTCGGAAATTTAGAAATTCTGGAAATTTGAGATTCCGTAATTCTGAGATTCGGAAATTCTGAAGATTTTATGAATTCTGAAGTTACGAAAATTCCAAAAATCTGAAATTCTATAATTCTGAAATTCCGAAATTTTGGATATTCCGATCTGACTCTGGACTATTACTCCTCTAACAAAAAAATTAACTGTTGTAACGTATTTTTATTTCAGACGTTCAGTGATATTAGAAACCCATCCATTGCTCGGCCAGATTGTATTTGACGACGTCGAGTTTGCCTACTCCACCCGACCATCTTCAAATGTCCTCGATGGAATTGGAAACCGTTGCTCTCGTTGGCAACAGTGGAAATGGAAAATCTTCCTGCTTCAACAGTACTACCAACCGTCTTCGGGAAGAATCTTGCTAGATGGCACAGCAATTGAGCAGATGGCCAATGTTCATGAGTTTGTGACTAGGATAGAAGAAGGATAGGATACTCTGTGCGGAGAGAGAGGTGTCAAGATGTCTGGAGGTCAAAAGCAGAGGATCGCAATTGCATGGAGGAATTGATGTTCAAGGGACCAGGAGGTGATGGAGGATTTTGAACAAATATATTTTTAATTGGTCACAAGACAGTCGAATCAGATTGGATAAAGATTTTATGTGTTTGCATTGTTTTTTGAATGAAATTGTTATTTTACAGTTTATACAGAATATCAGAATCTTTAAATTTACAGTAACTTCAAAATTTCAGTATTTTGAAAATTGAGGATTTCAAAATCTCAAAAATTTTATAATCTCAGAAATTTCATAATTCTAGAATATCAGAGTTTTGAAATTTCGAACCTTCTACTCCTAGTAATTTCGCAATTCTTGAGTTTCATAGTTTCAAAACTTCAGAATATCAGAAATTCTCTTCTCTTTAAAATCATCTTTAAAATCTTAGATTCGGCGTAAATTTTCATTCGATTTCGTGCTTCTCGATGAGTTTCTAACTTCTCGCTTTCCAGTGTCCTCTCTTCTGTCCAACGACAAGAAAAAGACGACGGTTGTTTTTACATTCTCTACGCGCGTCGAGTTTAAAGGCGCATATCTCAAAAACAAAAAAACGCTCTCAAAAAATTGTGAATTACAAAAATGTGTAAAACTTCGAAGAACTTCTTTTTGGAATGAACAAATTCTCGATAGTGTTCATAGTTTTTAAGATATGCACTATCAAAACCCCGCTCTGGTGAATTCTAGCACATGCAAAATAAGGAACAAAAAAACCAAAATTCGGCTATTTTGTGGCAACCGGTTCTGAAAGAAAAATACGTACCTAACGCGTCTTTCTGCCGGTTCATGTTCAATGTCTATGTGGATACAGCCAACAAAGCGAACAACTTCGGTATTTTTAATAACTTTATTTTAATTCGGATGTTTCAAGAGATATGTAAACTCGACAAGAATTTAACTGAGACCGAACAACTGAAAGAAGAATAAAAAAGAAAAAGACCATTCACTCATCATTTTCGTATGGATTTGGGATACGGAACGATCCATCGGCCATTCTCACGAGAGAGGTCTCTTTTTGAACGTAAGTCCCCCAATAACTGGGCTTCACTTTCCTTGGAATCAGGTGCTTGTTTCCTGGCCGACATGCATCCCAGAAGGCCTGCGAGAAAATTCCATTGTACATATTCCATTTCGGATCATAGATATATCCGTATTCATTATATCTTTTCCGAGTAGAAGATTCTGATGAGGAAGATGAGGATGCGGAATCGAGTTCCGAGTCCACAGACGTGCGTTCGCATTTTTCATCTTCAGACTTCTTTGTTGGTTCAAGGCTCCTGAAAATTACTAAAAAGTTAATTCAACTAGTGTTTTCAAGGAACTCACTTTACAAGGCTTTCTCTAAGCCAGCTAGGTACCCTGACCTTTCTCTTTTCCATCTCTTCAATCAGCGCAGTCTTGTAATCAGCATCGTCCTTGACAGAAACAAAGAATGTAACTTTGTAAGTTCTTCTCTTCTCTTCAGCTGTCTTGTAGATGAGCTCGAAAATTTTCGATATATCGTTCAGATCCTCTGGTGGCCAATAGACGATAACCTGAAAAGAATTCGAAATAGTTTCAAAATCATTTTAAATGATTTTAGACATCTAAAAAACAATTTTCCAACAAAACTTACATTTTTCGGAACTCGCATCTTTGATTCCAAGAATAAATCTGTTGCAATCATGGCCACTCGTTTGTCTTTCATCTCCTCTAACTTTTCCTCCCAGAGCTCTTTATCTCTGAAGTCGAGTTTTGTTAGGTTCACTTTACGAGCCTTCAGGAAGAAGGAGGTGTATTTCATATGGAATTCGTTTTTGCCGAGCGCCAGAACACAATCACCTGAAAAATAGTTATAATTAGTATTCTCGAGATCATTCACTAATTTGGGATTTGCACGGTTTTTGTTTCTCGAATCTTATTTAATTTTTTTTAAATTTGAAATTGAATGATTTTTAGAATGTCGTTAGAAATTGATGTTGCTACTTTCTGGACAGATGCTGATTCTAATTTCGTTATAGGAGATTTCTTGTTAATTTTACTAAAATATACAATTATTCTTCACACTTACGTTGTTTCCATGCCAAATCAGATATATAGTCCACACGGCCCCAGTCCGCATAATAATTTCCGACGTCTTTGACTTCGATGGTGACTTTTCCGGGCATTGTCGTTTTCGGATTCTGAAATGATTCTTTTTGTGTTAATGTGGGAATGTAATGAAAAGCAGATAGATAGAAAAATACAGAGCCAACAAATATCGATTGATCTAATAGACTACGTGAAGACATGAAAGGAGAAACAGAATGGTGGTACCAGGAATGAGAACTCGGAAAAATGAGAACTGCTACAAATAAGGACTCGCACGAATAAGAACTCGTAAAACATATATGGCAAAACCGAAATTTTTTTGGAAAATCTTGAAGTATTGTAGAGAACGAGACCATTTCGAAACTAGTTTTCTTTAAAAATTGGATCCTGAGCCGGAAGTTAGAGCCGGTAAACTGAGTTCTCATTTTCTTGTTCTCATTTGCAGCAGTTCTCATTTTTCTCATCCCTAAGACCACCAACTGAATGAATGAAAATAGGAAAGAGGTCCATCGACACACCTGGAAGATATGGTCCCCTGGCAAAATTACAGGTGCCAACCCTTTAAGTAATTAACAAAACAAAGTTCTCAAGTTATGGCTCAAAATTTGGGGGAAAATAATGGCTGGTTGAATGAAGGTAGGAACAAATAGAAGACTCAATTGACCTGGCTAATGGGAACCCTACAAAAAGGACCCTAGGTTTATATGAAACATAATGAAAAAAATCTTCGGAAATTGATTTCACGGCACTAAGAAAAATAATTTCTATTTGGAAGGGACAGTTATCAGAAAATTATCAGAAAATTAGTTCAAGGTGAGTCCACTAAACCGATATATTTTTGATGCAAAAAAAGAAGTGATATAAAAATGTCTAACTATTGAGAAACAGCTAAAGTCCTACAAAAAAGATATGTCATCTGATAGACGACAGGAAAACATAACTGAGAGGGGAAAAATGAATGAATGAATGAAAACTGGAGACTAACTACACCTTCCTCCATCGACACACCTGTAAATCTGACTACGTGAAGATACAGATGAATGGGGGAGGGGGCTGTAAATTGATGGCCCAATCGATCTAGAGCCCCTGGGAAAGTGAGAGATGCCAAACAATGAACTAGATAGGAGAACTATGGGATTGATGCAAATCATGAAACTAACTGGAAAAAATATTTGGAAATAAGTTGTAATTTTTTTGGGAGGTCAGAAATTTAGAAATTCGAGAATTTAGATTGGTTTACAGACCACTGAAATTGTATACTTGGAATGAAACAATTCAGGATTATTGAGAGATGAAAAAAATATTTCCTGATGATGGTTTGAGATATACTAGTGTTTGAAATACAAAAAAATGATTTGCAATAAGCGGAACTAAACGAATGTCGGTAGGAAAGTATGGGAAGCTCCATCGACCTAGAAACAACTGGATAATGGGACCTCTGCGGAAAAAGCAGATTCCGATTCATTGAAAAATAATTAAAACAATGCACTTATCAAGTCAAAATGGAACTCGAGAAAAACAATCAATCATAAGAAATCGGTTTAACGACATCAGGCATAGAAATATGATCAGGAAATTAGAGGGAGTCTACAAAAAATCTACATTTTCACTAAACCGATCTATTTTTAAATGAAGAAAAGAAGTGATATAAAAAGATCTAACTATTGAGAAACAGCTCAAGTCCTACGAAAAAGATATTTCATCTGATAGACGACAGGAAAACATAACTGGGAGAGGAGAAATGAATGAATGAATGAAGACTGGTAGTAACTACACATCCCTCCATCGACACACCTGGAAATCTGACGATGTGATGATACAGATGAATGGAGGCTGTAAATTGGAGGCCCAATCAATCTAGACCCCCTGGGAAAATGACATTTTTCAAACAATGAACTAGATAGGAGAACTATGGGACAGATGCGAATCGTTATTGTGAGATGAAAAAAGTATTTACTGATGATAGTTTGAAATATACTAGTGTTTGAAAAACAAAAAAATTGATTCGCAATAGGCGGGACTAAAAGAACGTAGGTAAAAAAGTATGGGAAACTTCATCGACCTAGAAACAACTGAATAATGGGACCTCTGCGGAAAAAGCATATTCCGATTCATTATAATTAAAAATAATTAAAACAATGCACTTATCAAGTCAAAATGGAACTTGAGAAAAACAATCAATCATAAGAAATCGGTTTAACGACATCAGTAACAGTCATCTATATGGAAGAGGCAGCTAATAGAAATATGATCAGGAACTGAGGGGGAGTCTACTGAAATTCTATATTCTCAGAGACGTAGAAGTAATATAGAAATGTCGAAAAACTAACTATCGAGATACAACTAAACTTACTGAAACGATTCGACGTTGGATGGACGACAGAATATAACTGTAAGGAGAAAATGAATAACTGAAGACTGAAGTCACATGGACATCGACCCACCTCCTTTCGCCGACACACATGGATTTTCAGATTCCCTGAGGAAATGACAGGTGTCAATCCATCAAGCAATTGAAACAATACATTATGTAGGAGAACAGATTGGCACAAAGGAAGAAAGGCGGTGGAGAAAGGAAAGATGCCAGCGTCTTTATGTCACTGCAAACTGACAATTAAAGGTTGAAAAGCAGCAAAAATTCACAAAAATATTTAGATTAGGAAGATTTCGCGACCGGAAATATTATCCGATTATTGTTTCGGAAGATTTTCCGTCGGAAAATTTTTCCGAAAAAAGTCTGAAAAATCGGAAAATCGGATTTTTCGTTTTCCGACTTCGAGCAAGCCTGGTCCGAACCAAAAGGAATTTTTCTTTTCGATTATTCAGAATACGAGACCCGTAAAAAATTTCCGGCAATCATTCAATCTGATATTTCAAAAATTATTTTCAAGTTAACTAATTTTTAAGTTTCCGCACAAAAATTTTCACTTTCTTACGTCAACATCTTGAAATCTAAATTTCTCATTATTTGGCTAGTTCTAAAACATATGTCTTTTTAATCTAGACACCATTATCTGAACAGGCGCATATATGCAGACGCACACCTGCTCTTCGCCCAACAAAAAGAGAGAGGGAAGGAGGTAGAAAGAACCGATACCGACCGAGAGGTCAACTGCCAAAGGGACTGGACAAGTGTGATATGTCGCTCAATGTCTCCCCCGTCATAATTTGCCATACATGCTGCATGTTCAGCATGGTGTGTGTGTCTGTCTCTCCTCATTTTTTGTGTTGCACAACAACTTGTCGTTAGCATGTGTTCTTTTTTCTGTTTGAGAATTGCCAGAAGGATGGTCAGTATTTCTCTTGCCAGTTACTTTTTCATAATCGTTTCTGCTTTTTAATACCATTTTTCATCGTCGATTCTTTTTTGAAGCATGTTTTTATGATAGATCAGGAATAATAAGGCGCGCTAGTTGAATATTTTCCACTTTTAAAAAGTGTGGATTTGGAAAAAAACATTTTTTATTGATTTTTAAAGTAAATTTACAGGGTGGCTAATAAGTATGTGGTTTTTTGTTTAGGAGTGCCCTGGAAAAATTTGACTTATGACATTCGAACTAAGTTCATTTTCTGATAATATAGGTCCAATTGAATGATTATTTGAGTACATAGTCAGAGTTGAATGCTTCGGCTTTGATGCAAGCCATCAGACGCTCCGCGCAAAAAGTTACCGTGCGCCGCAGGTAGTTGTCGTCTGTTTTGTCTCATAACGTGAGATGTGTTCGCTTGAGCAAGTTGAAAGTTTGGTTAGAACAAGTCATGCTCTTGCTCTCCATGTCCCCCAAAAAAGAAAATTCAGCGGGTTGAGATCCGGCGACGAGACAAGCTTCAACTACTTCTCCCAGTCTCGCGTAAAACAAGTTTCGATCCCCGATTTGGTGAAATTGGAGCTTTGAGGCCGTGCCGAATATTGTTTTATAGTAAATTGTTTCTGGCCAACATGACTAGCAACTCAGGGAAATTGAACACTCTTCAAAACCATATTTTTGTAGGTATCCGAGTTGATCTTCACGTGTTTGTCCATGAAGACCAGTGGAGATCTACCTTCAGTTGTCAACCCAGCCCAGACCATGACAGATTTTGGGAAAAGTCCTTTATATTCCGAAAAACGTTTAGGGGATCTCGAGTCATCTTTTAACATAATTTGCCAATTTTTCCGCCTTCTTGGAAGCGACTCAGTGATGAAAATCTTCTCATAGGTCTATATGACGTTGTAGAGGCGGCGCACCTACATATCGTTATTTTCTGGAGGATTCCACAGATACTACAAATGTTCAATAAAGGAGATTTTATGTTTTTAGATGCTCATTTACATATTCTTTTGTTTTAAGCTGTTTGGCGATTTCCTGAGCTAAAAACTTACCGACGCTGAGGGTCCAACATCATCGTATATTCAGTTTTAACGCTTGAAAATTTTAGCACGTGGTGAATAAGCTTGCATAGAAAAAGTATGAACAAAAAGTGATGACAATTGGTTCTGGAGACACCTTATATACGTCTCCTTCTTTCGGGATCCATCGAAAGCTTTCAAAAATCGCACTTGGCACGGTGCCAGGGGCTCACGCAAAAAAAAACCACATACCTTTTAGCCACCCTGTATTTCTTGTAGATATTTTTAGATTTTGAAGTTATTTTAGGATTTTTACAAAACTTTAAAAAAACATTAAAAGCCAAACAAAAACACAATACCGGCCGCCAATAAGATAAACCAAAATAAAATTTTCAGTTGGTTGTTGGTCATTTTGACCAGTTTCAGGAGTCTCCAGCGCACCTGTTAAGTTTTCGATTATTTTCAAAATTTTGAAGGGTCTCAGAATATTTTGACAATCCATAGTTTTTCAAGCATGTCAATTTTTTTTTGAAGCTGAAAAATCATAGTTTTCCATACTCTTGGAAATATCCGAAAATCAACTGAAAATACGTTTTCATTGGCCGGTTTAAACAATTTTACCTTATTTTGGGGCTATTTTAAATATTATCTTCCTATTTTCTCTATTTTCTCATTTTTCAACAATTGCCACAGCTTTTCCAACGTAAATTCAAGAAAACATTATTTAAAACGCTGGAAATAATTTAAAACAATAATAGAAATCGTCATTAAAATTGATAAAATAGGGAAATAATAATCAAAAAAGATCTTCAAAGTACGGTAGCCTCCCCTCTGGAGCCTTTAAGAAAAATTAAACGATGTTTCGCTCTCAACCTCGTCGTTTTTTTTTTTTTTTTTTTTTTAGCAATAGTAGTATGTATTCATTAAAAAAATCCTTTTTGTGACTGGTGGATAGGTGGGGAAAAAAACAAGGTGTATAATCATGAATTAGATGTAGGATGGCATGTCTATTTTCTGACAATTTTTTGTCGGTATCCTTTTCAAAGCTGCATCTTACCATTGCTCAGCTAATTTTTGAAAATTACAGATCTACACCAAGCCTCACAAGCATCCAACATGCCCGATTCAGCCAATTCCTCCAGCCACCCTGAAGTTTGTTCATTTTCAGTACACCCCCCCCCCCCCCCCAATGATGTGTGTTTTCCTTGCAGAAAAGACGCCAACGAAATTTTCGCGAACCAAAATATTTGTCCCTTCTTCGCCAACTTGATGACGATGAAGCATTGGTGCTCAGCAACTTTGAAAACTGGGCCAATAGGGTGGACGACCTTAAAGAAAAGGAGAGTCTTCTGAAGATGATTCCAGATCTGAAACACGCTCATGAGTTGATTGAGAAAATATTGGTTTCTGTGGAAAAGAGGGAGTCGTCTGTTCCTAAACAGTTCTCGGAATTTTGGGATTTTTTCCATGGTCGTTTTAATGAGAAACAACTTGCGAAACATGTGCTGATTGCTGGCATATTCGAGAGCATTCAAAAGAAAATGGGCGAAGCTGAGAAAGAATTCAAATCCTGGAAAAACGTTGAAGAACCACCCGCTAAGAAAAAGTAAGTTCTATTTTCAATTATTTTAAATATAGAACATTTCGTATTTTTCTAATGAATTAGAGATTCGGATAATTTTATACACCTTTTCACATTTATTCAGTGAACGTAGTGGCTTAATTTACGAAAATTCGAACTTTGAATTCATCGCTTTCTTTGGTTTTTTTTCAAGTTTTTATAATTAAGAAAAATCCTAAAAAGAATCTAAGCGCTAATTGAAACTGACCGTTTTTAAGTCAATTCTTTCCTTTGTTTCAGGAGCAATGCAAACGGAAATCAAATCAACGACGCATCGAAAGCTGCTTCAATTCCTTCAATTCCGGTTGGAAACAAAATTGGTCAGGAAAATCAGATCCGTCTCTCGTTCGCTGGGACTACAGACAATTCGAAAGACCATCATGCACTGAATAGAAATGCGAAGTGAGTTTTTTATTTTAGATTATGGAGATGTACATACATTATCTTATTTTTAGAGGCGCCTATGATACCGATGAAAGGGATTTTGTGTCCGTTGAAGACCTTCCAAAAATTTTGAAAAAGATTGAAAAAGACCTCGAAGGGTACGGACTCATCATTAAGGGATTTCAATTTATCTCCTCTGCTGAAAGTGCGGAAATGGTTGGGAGAGCAGAATATACACGGAAAACGTTATTGGATTTCATCAGAAACCTCACAAACAATTATATTGAAATCATGGCTTCAGATGCTATGCAGAAATTGAGGAAAACAATAGAGAAGCAAACCCAACCTGTTCAAAAGCATTGTGTTAATTTGACTAATGCAATTGAGACCATGTTTGAAGATGTGAAGACAAACTGGATCCAATTGGCCGCCATTTTGAGGTGAGGGTTTTTTGTATAAAACTTTTGAATAGCTTCAATTAGAACGCCTTTCAAGACCGCTAGAATCTATAATAGAAAAAAAAATTACCGACTGAGAATTATCCGAAAAGCCGCATATTAGTCTTGTGAGCAGTTTGATGTGTTTATTATAATAATTCGTGTACATTATCTTGTTTTCAGAGGCGATAGTAATACAAGAGAAGTATGGAATGATTTTTTGGAAATTCCAAACATCTTGGATACGATCGAGAACCTTCTCGAAGCGTGCGAATATAGTATCAAGGCATTTCAAGTACTCAACAGTCCTGGCAGTGCAGACACTGCTAAAATGATAGAAGAAGCTCGAACAACATTATTGAATTTCATTAAAAATATCCGGAACACTTCTTTCGAATCGGCAGCCACAGGAGCTGCGCAAAAAATGGAAGAAATAATTAAAGAGCAAACGCCACTTGCTGATAAGAATTGGGTTCATTCGGCTAAAGGGATTCAGACAATGTTTGAAGATGTGAAATCACACTGGAACCAAGTTCACGCGTTTCTCAAGAAAAGGTGCAGTATTTTTATATATATTATTTTTAAATAGTGTTCATTATATTACCTATCAATACCACCTGTTGAAAAAATGTTTACAGACCCTCAAACAGTTCCACAGCTTCTTCTATCCCAGCTACAAAACAACCGGCACCTGGGCTCAACGAGATAGGATAACTGCAGAAGAAGTTTTAATTTTTCTAATATTTGAACCCTGTTGGTATGCATGAATCTATAATACTATTGAGTTGTGTCCCAGTTGTTCTACTTTCTTCTCAATCTTGTGGTAAACATATATCAAATTCCTATAAGAACATGTCGAAAATTAGTTTTTTTTAATGTTAACTCAATAAAACATACTTTTGATGAAAGCAAAGAATTAAAATGATTGTTGGCTCACTTTTCAGAAACAGGGAACTTCAGATCTCTTCAGGCGCCTTTCACTTTGTGTAGTGTGCTCAAAAGTCTCAAAATAGAAATTCTTCAGATTCATATTCTCAATAAAACTCTTCCGTTATCCATGTTTTTAATTCAGCATCTATGGATACCCGTAGAAACCTTCGATTTCTCCGCCATCGTCTTCTCTTTCATTCACCATTCGTAGTCATTTTTCTACATACATTGAATATGCATTCTTTCAAGGCAATCATGTTCCTTCTAGTTCACTTCTTGATTGCCAACTCTGAGCAAATAGTAATATTTTTCCATAATTCTTAAAACTTTTCAGAATATTTTCAGAAGACAACTGACGCTATGATCCGCAAGGTTCCAGAAGACCACGTCTGCTTCTACTTGGTGAGTTGTATTTATTACAAGAAAAACACTGAAAATCAACTACTCAGGATGATGATTCCAAGAATAGACGCCAAACCAAAAGAGAAGTATCTCCACCAAAGGAGTAAATCTAATGAATGAAAAGTCTGATTTTCTAATTTTTCAATTTCACATCTGTGATTACACACAGGAACTGATCGAAAATGTTCATCCTGCGGTTCGAAAATGGGAATCGATTGAAAAATAGAGTAATAATTGTCGGATACTGTTTATGCGACTTCGATAATGAAACTTAATAAATAAGCTTTTGTTGTTTCCCGCTTAAAAGTTTCAATGGCGCCGTATGTGAGGAGTTGAGTATCATTTATCGACAGATTTCAGTAAAAATATGATATTTTGAAGGTCCACACACTTCAAGAATTGGCGTCCTGTGATTTTGCTCATACTACAATTCAAATGATAATGATAAAGTGCCGACCTTAAATAAACGAAAGAATGCATTTTTCAGTAGGTTTTGATCATTTTTCGGAGTCTAGGGCTTGGTTATCAAGTGTCTGATCAATTGAAAATTTTGGAAAGTGTAAAACAGATATAGAATTAAAATTTTGCATTCACTTATTTTTTTTTTTTGAAAATTCATAGCTTTTCAGTTATTTGCCGATGTCTTAAAGGCATCTTTTTTCATGTTTTTGTATTGTAATGTGAAAAAAGGAGGTTTCCTTCAGAAATTGGCAAAAAGCTGAAAAACTAAGAATTATCGAGAAATTCTGTGAATGTAAAGTTTTCAAACTATGTAGTTCTTTTTCAAATTTTCTAAAAATTTCAAAATCGGTCGCTTGACAGCCAAACTCTAGACTCTTGAAAATGGTCAAAATCAACTCAAAATGCGTTTCTTTTCATATATTTACGGCTGCCACTGTATGTAGAATATGGAAAATTATTTCCCTCTCTTCAGTTCGTGCGCCCAAAATAGACAGAGCCTTTGAAATGGTAGGGTTTTCAAACTATTCTCAGTCTGAAAATGCTAGTTTGAGAGTCCGGCTTTTTTGAGAATAGGCTATTCCCAATTTCTTGCAAACTACGATTTAGATTATGAAAAGATGCAGAGGATAAGAAACATTTCTTCTCTGTCTCCAGCTTCGAAATAAAGAGATCCATTAAAAAAGTATCATTTTCGGACCATTCTCAGTCAAACGATGCTATTTTAAAGGTTCGTCCACTGAAACTTTAAAAAACTGTTTTGGAAATAATTGAAATACTCAATCTGAACTCATTTCATTTATTTTTCACTAGTTAGAAAATGTTTTCCAATCGCCAATTTGTATGATCCATCAGAATATTCCTCATTTTAAGCGCATTTTAAGTCAGAGTTACCCATTTTGAAAGACAGTCTTCAAATATAGGCATTCGATTATCTTTCTCCAGTCAATGTTTGAAAACTTTTTTTTTCAAAATGGGCGATTTTGAAAAAAAAACCCCTAAAAATCAAAAGTATTCGAAAAAGTTTTTATAGTAAAAAGATTAGTACATTGTTTTTTTTCTCATTTATTCAAAAGCATTCCTGTTCAATTATCCTTATCACAATTTCCCCAACAAAAAACTGAGTAACATACGTAACTCTATAATTCGGAATTCCAAACTTGCTAACCAAGTAGCGCAGATATTTTGTCTGTTTAATGCTATCTAATACATGCCCCTCTCCTCCCCCACCCCCCCCCCCTCTTTTTCTTCTTCTTCTTATTCTTCTTCCTCCTCCAAATAGTGCTAGGTGAGTGTGAAGACCTCACTCGCCTCCTTTTCCTGCTAATGTCTCCTTTTCGAAACAATGCAATGACAGTGACGGCATGCTAATAAATTTGCGGTCACTTTTTTGCGCAGTGAATTTTTGTAATTTGAAAAGAGTTCTTTCTCATAACTATTCGTCTTGAATTTCTTAGTGTTTTTTATTTGAATTTCTTCCAATTTTGTTTGAATTGGAGTCATTAAAAACATTTTCTAGAAGTGAACATTTGTCTTCCTTCTCTTTTTTCTCGATTATCAAAGTGTTTTTTTTTGGTTCTAAACTCTTTCAACTCCCATAATTTCTAATAAATGTCCTAAAACTTAGTGAGTTTGATTAAAAACACGTTTCAGTGGTAATAAATCGTTTTTCCATTCTCAAATCTTCTCCAAATGCCGTTTTCTATTGTTCTACTTCACACATAGTCTACGTCTCAGTTATTTTAGGTTGTTCTTCGCAAGTGTCCTCTATTTCCTTCTTTTGGCAAATTTCACTGACCAACACACTAACACACAGACGTCGGCTGCTTTGTTTATGTGTCTGCGTCTCCTCTAGCTAAAAATTGTCATAATTCTCATTAGATATTTTGGCTGCCTTGATATATAGCTAAATATGTCATTTTTCAATATGATAATGGCCAACTATGCAAATGTTTGCTTTTTCATTCGGTCCTGTTGTCTCTGTACCATTAAATGTAGAGTAATTAAAAACTGAGTGTCATTTATACACTTTAAACTTTTTTCACAACTTCAAAACTTCAGAATATAGTTGACAACTTTTCAATTGTTTTCGGGAATCACATTTCGGGCCTTTCTGACTAACTAGGGAAGGTTGTAACTGGGGTATGGGACTTTGATATGAGACCTATATCATTCGACAGCTGAGGATGAGACATTTTCAAATACATATTCAGTTTTGCTGCGCACTTACCAGATTCTAGAAAATCGATACCCACCCATACCCCCACAAACAACTTTCCCTAGTAAACCATGATGTGTAGAGCTTTACTTAAATTTTATGTGGTTTCAAAAAAAAAACAAATTTTCTAAAAACTTTATTTTTCGAAGATTTATGCTTGATTTTTTGTTTGCAGCACATTAATGTATAGACTCAATGCGCGCTCTATATTTTATGAAAACATTTCACTAATTACTATAGAAGTCCGTTTCTTTGTGAGAAAAGTTCCCCTTTTGTCTACATCAAGCAAAAAGTAATTAAAAATTGAGCATCGTACTTTTTGAATTTTTGAAAATGGGTTTTCGGAAATTCAGAGAATAGTTGGCAACTTTTGTGTTGTTTTGAAGAATTAGATTTCGGACCCCTGCAGCTAAACCGTGTTGTTTAGAGATTTACATAAAATTTATGTGATTTGAAAAAAAAAACAATTTTTCTTGGAATTTGAAAAACAGAGTTGTGTTCAATTTTTTGTATGCAGAAAATAAAAACGCTTGCACTATAAAGTTTCATGTCCCTTTAAGTTTTTCAAATGAAAACTCCGAGACAAACACACAGACAAACACACAGACAGAAAAGTTTTCATAAGAAGAAGAAGATAAGCCAGAATTATAGAACTACAGCGTTTTTGAATTGCTCCAAAAATCTCGTAGCATGTATGTTTAATTGTATTTGTCTTCTCAATCAATTATGATTTTTTAGCTCAAAATTCTAAATGGTTTTTTTAGGTTTCTCATATTCTCTCTATTTTATATCTCATTTGTCATCTCTATATTTTTTTGCATGGTCTTTTTGATATGCATTTTACCTGAACAGTCTGAGTAGAGTTTTTGGTGCGAATAGACACTCTGTCTGCATATACCCAGCTGTCAGAGGTCAACTTGTCTGTCGACCATACCTCTGTGTTCTGTGTTCCCCCATTTGCACGTTTCCTCCCGCAATCGTTTACCTAATCTTGTCTAGTCTTCTGTTTTTTTTCATGCCTACCGCATATGAGATGGCATGTGTGTACTGACCAACACACTAACACACATGCATTGGTCGTTTTGTTTATGTGTCTGCGTCTGCGTCTCTAGGCGATGATCTAGCTAAAGACTGTTATAACTCAAAAATCTCATGAAATTGCACAAAATAGCATTTTTGCGTTGCTTTTTGATTATAGAAAAGTTTTATCAGACAAGTTAAAAATTCATCCATAAAAAATGTTGAGAAAATAATTGCGGTTTTTTGAGCTGTATAACTCCTAGAAATGTCAAAAACTGAAAGAGGAGATAGAATTTTTTCTGTAAAAAACTTTCAAAAATGACCATTTTTGACATTTTTTCTTCCGGAAAACGACCATACATGAATCTATAACCACTAATTAATTTTTTAAGAACCATTTGAATCATCTTGGAACTCCACAAAATCAGATAAAAAATTCTGAAATTATGGTTTTAGAGCTGCAATTGTGATCGCGCCAAATTTTTTTCTGTAAATCAAAAATTAATTTGCAGTTCGGAATTGTTCTGTGGGAGAGCGTGAACTGATAAATTGTTTGTTATAATATTAAAAATATTTTATCAGTTGACACATTTTTGATATCTTCCATAGGAATCAAGACAATTTAGCTCAAACTAGACAGTGGGAGTCTTTTTATAACAGATTTCACGGTAACTCTATTCTATTTCATGATTCTAATTTTGATAACTTTGCTCATAGAATTCTTGAACGACAGTTTTTCTGTGATACTTTTGAAAGTTTTTTGTAAAAAATTTCATTTGTTTTCTCAACTTCTCATTAGCAATTTCAAAAAATCAGAACTCAAAATTCACTTGTTCGTGTTTTCTCATATTCTATATCCTTATCTGACATCCTATTCCTCAGCTTTTTTTTGCATTCTCTCATCTTAACAATCCAAGTAGGGTGTTCGGTGCAAGTAGACCCTCAGTCTGCATATTCCCAGTTGTCAGAGGTCAATTTGTCTGTCGACCATACCTCTGTGTTCTGTGTTCCCTCCTTTGCTCGTTTCCTCCACCAATCGTTTACCTAATCTTGTCTAGTCTTCTGTTTTTTTTTCGTGCCTACCGCATATGAGATGGCATGTGTGTACTGACCAACACACTAACACACATGCATTGGTCGTTTTGTTTATGTGTCTGCGTCTCTATTTTTCTAATTTTCTGTCATGCAACACTATCTTATCCATATTCAGCTTTGTTTTTTAGATTACCGTCTTCACAAAGGATGCCTCGTGAAATGGTTTCCATTCGTTCCATAAAAATGAAAAAGATGAACCAGGTTTGTTGAATTGCGCAAATCTCTCTTAAAAGTTTGAACATTTGCAGTCAGTTGCAAATGCAATAACTGCTGTTCTCAATTTCACCGAAATCAAAGTGGAAGAGCTGAAAAACATGCCATCCAGTCTTCTTCGAGACGATTTTTGCCACGAAGTCGCAGAAGGTGTCAGATTGCTAGGACAAAGCATTGAGGAGGGATGCAAAGATGCGGATCGAAGCTTAAGAAGTTTTGTTTCGATGACCAAGAAAAGCGAATTCACGAGTATTTTGAAAATATCCAAATGGCAACGCAAGAATATGGAGAACGCTCTGGAAGAGTGTGAATTGCTCATGAATCTTCTAGAAGTCGAACCGAACGCAAGCCTTAAAAATATTGATCGCTTGAGGACAACAGTTTCCAATACAAAAGAAGATCTTCAATCTTTTTGTCAAAGTCGTCGAAATATGTTTGCAGAGCTGATTTCAAGGACGAGGAAAGTCATCGACGAGCAGAAAAAAAGAGAGAATTATTTTAAAACGAAAGAGCTCAGTAATATTGAAATTGAAAATAAAGAGATTGAAAAAGAGGATCCTATGGTCAGCCCTCATGACGAACCACCAAGCAAAAAAAAGTTTGTTAATTAGTCAGTATTTCATCATTCCAGTTTTGAAAACTTTCAGAAAAGTTCAATTCGAAATTCCACATGGCCATTCGACACAATCCACTTCTGCAAATCCAGCCAGTGAAGATCCAAGGTTGAGAAAATGTTTTCAATGTTTAATTAGAATAGAAAATCACATTTTTCACGTTTCAACAAAAGTAGCTTTGCAGATATCCAGAAAACATATTTACGGAACTACCTAACATTGGCGGCCTTTCGACTAGATCTCCTACAAAACATCGTATTGTCGTCGCCTCTCGAAACATTGGAGATACAGCAGAACCGTTGAAGAAACTTCAACGGGATTATGCTGACCAACAGAGGTTTCTGGAACTTTTCACTGAAATGGAGGCTGATATCTTTGGCAAGTGGTAAGTTTTTTGTGTGAAGTTTTACTTACAAGAGATCTCAAATATTTTTCGAGTTTCAAAAATTATTTTGGAAAAAAAATCAGTATGGCATCCCACAATTTTTGGTGAATTTTTGAAATTTTTTTTTGGAAAATGCAAAAAAAAATTGTTCCAAGCGTGTCAGCCTGATTTGGTCTGTGAGCTCTGATGATGTGATTATTCCCAGAAATATATGAAAATCGTATATCTGATCAATTTAGAAACATTGTGTTTATAAGGAGCATTGTGAAGCAATTTCCAAAGTTGAAATTCGCTATTTTCGGGTAATAGGATACCAAACTTTGTAAGAATGATTTCTATTGCAGTTCTGAAAGTTGAAACACTTGTTGGCGGTTCATAACAAACTTTTCGAAAGTTTGCCAAAAAATTAAGGGACTATTGTTACCCATCCTCATTTTTATAAACGAGCTATCGCAGAGAAAATTCTGAAAAGATTTCTGTTCGACATCCTTTTGTAAACTAGATTTTTCAGCACGAATCATTTTGTCGAGTGTGCGAACGGTGCAGATTTCGAAAGAAAATTCAACACATATGGATCGGCTCTTCCATATTTGGTGAAAAACTCAGATGACAAATGTGATATAAAAGTGCAGATCGACGGAGAGCCAATTAACTTGGGTAAAAAATTTAAGGGATTTTGAATTTAAATACATAATAGCTCAGACTGTAATCAACTGGAACTTCTGTCTACCTCAACAACTCGGAACACGAATGAAATGAGAAGTTTCTTCAAGAAAACTGAAGCGAAGAGAAAGGTTATTGACACATCAATGATCAACAGGTAAGCATCACATTGAAATTCGAATTTTATTTGAATTTTCTATCTGTTTAGGCTAACAGTGGACGACATGAAGCTTGTGAGAGACCGAGGCCTCGGAGCTCACATCAAAGCTCATGATTTGGATTTTGGGCTTACTGAAAAATACCGGAGAGGTTTTGGAGATGCCACAGAGAAGAACGATTTGCTTGATTCAGTTCAGTCGCTGGTCCTTGCTAGACCAAGTTCGATGTCCAGTCTTCAATTTGAGCCAAATGGCTCAGCATTCTACTATTATGTTTGTACCGGAAAAGAAGTGATGTATGTGAAACCGGCGACTATGGAAGATGTGGATCTCTACGAGAAACTGGCTGGCAACGAGAAGGACCAATGGATTGTCACGGAATTCGGAGACTTCAGCCGAATCGAAATTAGTGCCGGTCAAATGGCAGTTCTTCCGACTGGATGTCTCTGGTTTTTTTTTGCTCGAGAGAAAACAATTGCAATTAAAGGAAACTTTGATACGATCGAGAACTTTCCACTCGCTTGGAGGTAAGATTTGATATAATTCATTTCGAAAGTCTAAAAATTTTGTTTTCAGAATAGCAAAAATGTCTAGCAAAAATTCGGAAAAGACAGGCCGATACTGGATTCTCTTGTTCAACTACGTTGAGAAATTCTTCTACGATGGATACGAGGGTCAAGGTAAAACTTGTGCATAATTCAAGTGCAACCCTAATTTTTATTTTTCAGAATACTCACCAGCCTTGGGTTTCATGTTGTTCGAAGAACTATCTCGACACTTGGGGGAGCAGTCTTCGTTCAAATCCTTCCGGAAACGAAAAGTGCTGAATTCTCTTGGAAATCGTCTGAGGAGAGATGGTTATCCGGTGAGTTTTTCAAGTTTTTTTTATTTATTTTTTGATTTCACAAATCATGTATGAAGCAGGGCTAGACGTAAAATATGTTTACGGAACCCGTGAAACGTAAAATTGATAGATCGGAAATTCTGTAAATTCGTAATTCCGCGAAACTCGCTAAACATTTGTTTTTCACGATTTACAAAAACGGGATAAAAAGAGGTGCTGTTCGAAAATTTCGAACAGCTAGAAAACTAGGATCTTTCAAATAATTTTGCATGTGCTAGTTTTTTAAACTAGGTCTGTTTTACACCCCCCCCCCCCCCTCCCCCAAAATTTTCAAATTTATTATAAACTCGACAGCCGAGCCCCAGACTAAAAAAAAAGACTAGGTAATAGTATAAAGTCGAAATGGCCGGAAAATCTTATTGAAGCCCATAGGCTTAAAGGAAATACGGTAAATCCCAGCCCTGCTACAAAATATGAAAAAATTAGACATCATTAGTTCATTTTTCTTACAGGACGTGCCAATTCTCAAAGCTCCAAAAAGAGGCAACACTTCGAAAGTTGAATCTGCAAATGGGAGAGATATGAATGGTGCCGATGATTTCATGGATGAGGATTAAATTATTCCCTTTTTTTCCAAGTTTTTTTTTTGTTGATTGTACATCACATCTGTTTGTTTAATAATGATTGTTTGTTAGTTTTTTTTTTCATTGCAATTTTTTAATTTTCCGCTTATATTTATCTCAAACTTGATCTTGTATCTCTCTTATTGGTATAATCTACTGTTTCTAAAAAAAAAACACTTGATGATATAATTTTGTCTACCGTATATCGTATCAAGCGTTATTTCCTCGCTTCAAATATCTTTGTGACCTTTCATACTTTTTAATTCGATCTTCTTGTTACTTTTTCTCGTATTCAACTTTTCAAAATTTCAGCTTATCGCGTATATTCACAAGCTGAAATGACTATCACAGATTTGTCTAGCAGCAATTTGATGGTATATTATTTTTCTCCATTTTTATGAAAATTCTTTGTTCTTTCAGCCCCTTCAGCTAACAGAAGAAGAGGCAAAGACAGTCGCTTCAAAGAATCTGCAGGCTCTTGTCCAACAAAGCTGCTCCATGCAGGCGGAGTTCAAAAAATTCGTCGAAAAAACGAACAAATCCAACATGAGCGAGATTCAACTTCTGAAAAGGTTGTTTGAAGTCGTTGCCGAGATCACCACTGCTGTCGAAGAGGGTTACGAGTACCAGGGCGACCTGGACAACTTCTGGAAAACATTCAACGACTACTACGGCCGTGATAGAATCGAGAACATCAATCTGAAAAAACCGTTCGAGGAACTGGAGAGAAGGATGCAAAAAGTGATGGCACTTTTGAGAAAGGAAGAAGAACCATTGATGGAAAAGAGGTGAACTTTATATTCAAAAATCAAGGGAAAATGGAAAAAAGGAGTTTTTGTGCATTTCGCTGTGGTAGTTCTGTTGCTGCGATTGCGTATTTTTATTACTTATTCCAGTTTTTCCAAAAATATATCGCCTAATAGTTTAAAAACAAAGTTTGTTTTTGAGTTTTTGAATATTTTTAAGGAAACAGCATCGGAAAATCGTTGATCTTTTGCACCGTTTGCAATCCAGTCGTTCCCGGAAAGAATTAAACAATTTAGAAACTGACAAAAGTAATACTAGAAATCGAAACTTCAAACTATTGAAGAAATATTTTTTCATATTACATAATCTTTTTTCAGAAATGGTTTCGCCCCAGTGTGTCAGACGAGTCCAGCTCGTCTAGTCAAGGGGTTGCTCCAGTTCCTCAAAAACTGGCCAGATCGTCCGAATCAGCTCAACGAGAAGAATATAGAAAAGATGAAGGTTTTACATTCGAAATGCCAGAAAATGAGGACATTTTGAGGTACGTCATCAACTTCTTTTTTTTTTGATTTTTGAATATGAATTTTCCTCCAAAAGATAGTCATGATTTTGACAACTGCTACTTCTGGATATTTTTTATTCTTGTGATAACAAAACATACCATAAAACCTGTTATAGAAGGGCCTACTTCGACCTAGTTTTTCTCGGTTTCTATGAATGCTATATAAAAAGTGTCCACTGATAACTTTTTTCATAATATCAGAAGTTTTTTGTTAGTAGAGACATTCTTGACACTTTCCATATAAATTCTGATAGATGAGCTCTATTTTGACAGTTTAGGGGTACTACTAGTGTGTGTTCACGATATTATAAGCTCAACTTGCAAGCTTCTTGAAAAAATATCTAAAATAATATAAACCAAATTTCAGCAATTTCCTTCAAAATGGAAGGACTTCCAAATACGAAGATGAAGATGATGGCAGACAAGTGGATGAAGATGAATTTAGTGGCAGTTCGGATTCTGAGGTATGTTTTCTTAATTTGAAATTGTATTATTATTTTTTTTGTTAGTTAGTATACCGTATCACAATTTTTATAAAAGAAATCACAAATTTTTCAACTGATTTTGGCGACTATAAAAAACCTTTCATCAATTGACATATTACCAGTCGGTTTGCGCCCCTCCGGGGCTGAACCTCCTGGGCTCCGCTCACAGTACCCGTTATCCTCTAAAGAAAAAATAGCCGTTTCCAGGAGCTATTTCTTTCAATATTTAATTCGGAAATTCAGAAATTCAGAGTACCAAAAACTCCTGATTTAGAAAATCAGATTTTGAAATTTCGTAAATTAAGGCATGCAGATATTTGATTCTGATATACTGTGAATGTTCAAATGAGGAAATTTGGAAATCCCAAAAGTATGACATTTGGAAGTTCGGAGAATATAAATTGAAAAGTCGGAAGCGTAATCTTTTATTTTGAAATTCTAAAGAGCGTTTCAAACTTAAAACTTCTGAATTTTTGAGCTTCTGAAATTTCCGAATACTTATATTTTCGAGGTTTCTAATTTTCTTATTGCCGGAATTCTGAGTGTCTGAACTTTTGGAATTTAGAAACTCCGATTGTTAAATTTTCGAAAACCCAGAAATAGAGGAATTGAGTCCAATGCTTGAAATCTGAAAAATTAGAAAACTCTAAAATTTTCAAATTATAAAGTTAATTTCTGAATATGGGAACATAAGAGTTTCAACCGATATTTTGAACTTCTTAATTTTCGAATTTACAAATTTTTAAAATTCCAAAATTCTGATTTTCTGGATTTCCAATTTCCAATTTTCGAGCTTTTTTGATTTCCGGATTTTGAATTCATTTGTTTTCCTAATATTCAGGAAAGCATAAAGTCGGGAAATTTTGAGTTAGGAATGTCAGAAATTCGAAATACCGATAACTAGAAGCTTTAGAAATCCAGGATTCCAGAAGTTGAATTGAGGAATTTTAAACTCCGAGATTTGGAAGATCGAAATTTCAGAAATTTGAAATATCGAAGATTTTGAAACTCAAAAACTTGGGAATTGAAAAAAAACACCGAAATTCCCATATTCCGATATTAACTTCGAACTTTGAAACTTAGAGTTTCCAAATTCCTGAAATCCCGTTGTGAAGTTCCAAAGTCAGAAGTTCTAAATCGTCGGAATTCCAAACATCGGTAAATCGAAATCCTAGAATTGTGAAAGCAGGAACTTCGAAAATTATCGAATTTCCAAAACATGATATAGTGTTCAGAATCATTTAAACAAATTCTTAGTCATTTCTATACTCTGTTCAAAAACAAAAAAAGAATTGCCACCGGTCGGACTCGAACCCGCGTGGGGTGGGCAAAAATGTATGGCGTTAACCGCTACACCATGGACCACCACAGCGAGACTGATAGAAATGGCGTACGTATGTGGGATTTTCTTCCTCCTTTCGCCCTCCTCTCTCGCCCTTGCCATCTCTGCCCATCGCGCTTTACTGTGGTGAAACAAAGAAACGCCTCCGGAAGACTTCAGAATCAAAATTTCGAAAATAGAAAGGGTCGGGAAAAAACTAATAAAAATTTCCGATTCGCCTGTCTAGGTTTCAGCTCAATCGGTTAACTTTGAATGAGTGAACCGACACGCTACATCCATCCGGACATACGGAATTTGGTGAATGTTATTAGTAATGATACCCACCACATACAATATCAGACTCCTAGGACCATTTTGAATTTTTCCATTGCCATCGCCTGTTGACCCGATCTCAATTCTCTCAGAGAATGTGTCTTAAATAACTTTCGAAATAACCCAGATAATTTAACTCAAAATGCAGGGTAGGTTTCTAAAAGATCTTTTACGGTCGTTTTAATTTTAGTTACATAAGTGGGCGTGTTGGATACCCGTCGATGCTCCGAAGAATAGGCTACTTTTCCAGTGTAATTTAGAGGTTAGAAGCGGTTCAAAAGGGGTAGAATGGCAAGGATTCTAGAGGTGTCTGTAAGCGATGAAGTGGACGAATGCGGGCAGATAAGCGGTGTGGAACAATAAAAAAAGTGTTAAATAAGTGACCCGTTTATTGCCGGAGATAAAGTGGTAAATCGAAGGCAAAAAAGGAGATCAAAGTCCGTGGTGTGGTGGAGTGGGTCGCGGAGCCGATCGGGAAGATTCACTGATTTTGGAACATTTTGGGAGAAAACCTCAGGGAGGAAAACCCAATTATAGTGGTTTGAGGTAAAATTCCTAAGTGGTTTTAGGACGAAAACCTCGTGGTTTGATAAGGAAACCCCGGTGTTTCCGAGTGAAAAACCTTATCGGGAGAGGTAACTTAACATCCATCCCATAATAATGGTAATCTTTCCATATTCAACACGCCTTCACACACACACAATCTCCAAAGGGTGAAAACACTGAACACACTAAAAAACGAACATGCGACAGGTTCACTGACAGAAAACTGACTGATTTTAGGCCAAGAAAAAAGGGTTGTGTGTGGCGGCATTCCCTTCGTGGCGAGACCCCAGAGTGCGGTGGGGCGAGCTCACGAGGGACAAATGCGCGCGCAGTTTGAATATGAGTTTTTAAAGAGGTGGCGAAAACAAAGGAAAATAAGGGTTTTTTGAGATAAAAAGAAAGGTTTCTGAGGATAAAGCACAGTGGGATGGGCCTAGAGGTCCTCAGAATACCTTTGAGTTGTTGAGTTTATGCATTGTTAGGTGCACTCGACAACAGAAGATTCCTAACAATTTAATTGTCATATTTTGCAAAACCCCTCAAAACTCCATGTTGTCATTGCCTGTTGAATAAGGTTGACATGATTGATATAAACCAATTTATGAAGTTTTTTTCCAGAGCGACGACGATATGGGACCAGGCGATTGGATTAATATGCTCCGTGAGATCCGGAGCAAGGAGAAGCTTATCAATCTCACATTGGACAGTTTCAAAGCAAATCTGAAACATGCTTCCATCGAATCCCACTTCATCAAAGCAGTCCGGCTTTCAACCAGACTCTGCTTCAGAATGGCCCAGCTGATTTTGGACTCGAAGGATTTGGATGCAATGGCAGTCCAAGAGATGGTCAAGGTTGTTATAAAGCAGTTGAGGGAATCCATTAATGTCTTGGCCGGAAACAAGGCACGCCACACACCTATCTTCGCCAACTTTACAAACGTCGTCAGGAAAAACTTGGATGAACTCTGGAAAGTATGGAAATCGGTACTATGTGAAATGGAAAGAAGAGAAAGAGAGAAGAGGTAATACTTTTGAAAAGTATTTCGGTTAACCCAAAGTCCTCCAAAAATTCGCTTCAAAACTTGGTGTACTTACAGAACTGCTCCATCAGCCTTCAACGGTGTAATGGATGAGCAGGAAGTGGAAATGGATGATATGGATAGATTTGATGATGGAATGGGAGGCAGGATTCAAGTGGAAGGACTGGATAGATGTGAAAATGAGGGACCAGATGTCGATATCGGATTTTCAGACTGGCTGGCTAATACAGAAACTAACAATCATCCATCAACATCAGGATCTAGTCAACAGAAGCCACGAAACAAAAGCTCGAAACCGTATTCTGTCAAGCCAACGAGAATCAATTTGAAAAAAGTTGCTTCTAACAGAACTTCAAACAGAAAGATTCCCAAGAGAATGGAGGATTCAGATGCCAACGAAGTTGACTATTACCTGGCAATGTCCCTCAACCTGTTCGAAGATCCGTCAGACATCAACAGCCTGCCCCTGGAAAAGCGAACTCTTCTGAGGGATCTAACGGAGGACGCACGCCAGTTCTTGGTAAGACATTTTAAGAGTTTTGAATTTCGAATCAGTAATTGTCAATAAGATATGCAAAAACAAATTTTTCAGTCGATTCTCGGCTATTTTGACCGTTTGCAAGAATCTGAGGCTAGTTAATCTTAGTTTTTTAGCCATTCATCGATTGCTGAAGGACACCCTCATTTTTCAATCCATTTTTTATTGAAATTCAAAAAAACTGGAGCCTTTCAAAAATCGGCAAATAGTTGAAAGACTGGAAATTATCAAAATTTAGTGTGAACAGCAAAGTTTTTATCTAGTATCTTCTACACCCTCCAAACTTACCGATTTGGACGGACACTTGATATCCGAACTCCAGACTCCTGAAAATAGTCAAAATTGCCGAAAATCGTATAGAACATAATCTTGTAGATCTTGTTGACTGAAACTATAAGTTACTTTTGGTTCACTTATCGATGAGACTCGTAACTTGAAAAGTTGTTCCCCAACTCTCAAAAAATTGCCAATTTTCAATTCTGTATTTGCAGGATACTGAGTGTTCCCAAAGAGATGAGGTGTTCTCTGAAGATCAACACCACGAAGCCATGAATAAAGTCTTCGACAAGCTCACCGAAACCGTCAAAGATAAATTGACGCCAACTGTAAGCTGTGACGAGATTAAGAAGGAATTGTTGAAGAATGGAAAGAAAAGAGACAACAAGAAAGCCGGAGAGCAGTGGAATTTGAGAAAGAAAGTTGTTCCACTTTTGCTGACCACGATGTTAAAATTTGAATTGGCTAACCAAACTGGAACAGAAATCGTCGACATGGTGATGAATTTCAATCTCGGGGCGGCGTTTGACATCGAAAGTTTTCAACCATCCACCTCTCCGGCCAATCAGAAGTTTTTCATGGGAAAAGGAATGGACGAGAAATATGGAGGAGACGCGGGAGTAGTTCTGCCAATTAACGTCATAGATGGCAGGAAAGTGAAGACAGCGGATCAAATTGAAGAAGCTCGTGCAAAAATGAATAAGACGATGGCTACTGTCGTTTCCCATTTCGGAGAAGGATGTGGTTTGAAAACGGAGTTATTCACGGGACAGAATCTCAAGAAAGTTTTGGGAAAGAGAGCAGTTCCAGTGAAGACCCAGCTTCCACAGCAAGTAACTTCTAATTTCAACCCAGTGTCTTTCATGAAAATGAAGAAGTGGAAAGACGTGGACTCAACGGACGCAAAGAAAACTGTGGAGAGAATGAGAAACACCTGGCGAGTGAAAGAACAAAAGGATGACTTGGTGTTGGAAGATGCTCTTGAGTATCAAGAAGAACGTGCTGAAAAAGGAGAAAAGCGTAAGTCTGAAATTTTTAAAATATTTTTTCTTACGTTTCAATTTTCAGTGATGGAGAAATATTTGAAAGGAGGAATGGAGAAAAATGTGTTTTGGGGAGAGTGGAGAAAGCAACTCATCGATAGTCAAAACAAGTTTTGGGAAAAACACCAGAAGAAGGGAAAGGAGATTGGAGAGGAAGCAACTTCAAATTTCGTGACTTCATTGTTCATCACAAATTTGGAGCTAGACGATGAGAGTTGTCCAGAGCAGATGGCGGTGAGTAAAACAAGGGTTAATCTACAGTAATGCTCCATATATTTTTTTGTTCATTTTCAAAAGTCTGAAGCTCGGCTGTCTAGTTTCCAATCTTTCTTGAGATGTAAGAGGGTGTGAAACAAACCTAGATTGAAAAATTTGCTTTCTCAAAATTTTTGAAAAATTCCTTGTTTCTTAGCTATTGGCCGATTTTTGAAAGCTACCTTTTATTTTCCTTTTTAGTACCGTAACGTAAAAAACATGTGGATCTCAGAGATAAGATTGGCAAATAGCTGCAAACCAGAAAATCTGAAAAAAATCTGCTAATGCAAATTTTCCAATTCACTTTTTTTCAATTTTTCGATTCCATTTTTCAATATTAGGTGGATTTTTGCACCTGCCGAAGTTTTCGAATAGATCGCAAAATTGACAGCTGAGCTCCAGGTTCCTGAAAATGGTCGAATGACCAGAAATCGATTGAGGAATACGCTGTTGTATGTCTTATTGACTGATACTGTATCTGAAACAATCATCAAAAGACTTCAAATCAATTCCAAAAATTCTTGACTGATCTACTACAATAATTGAAGCTTTCTATTTTCAGGAGATTCGGAAGATGTGGCACTTCCTCCAGCCAAGGCAACAGTTGATGGCCCACATCCTCGGAACCGTTTCCGGAATCAATGCCGTCCAGGTCTACATCAAAGAAGCTGGCGCCAGAACTCCAGCTCATCAAGAGAACCTCTGTGTGGCTTCGATTAATTGGAATATTGGACCAGGAGAATGTATTTGGTACATGGTTCCGTTGGCGTTTGCGGCGAAGATGGAAGCGTTGCTTGCCAAGAAGCAACTTTACCAATATTATGACAACTGGTGGCCATGCAAGAAGGACTTGAAAGATCACGGAATCTCCTACCAAAAGATTATTCAAAAAAAGGATGATCTCGTTTTTGTTGGAGTCGGATCCTACCATTGGGTGCAAGCGATCGGACCATGTGTCAACGTCAGTTGGAACATCGCGGAAAAAAGTGTGGATCAGTTGCTAGCCATGGCGCTCTACAACGACCACACGGCTATGCAAAGCTACAGCCCTGACGTTCCACTTGAATCGATGGTTTTGGACATGCTGGAGAAGAACATTCCGACGGAGGACGGCCAGTTCGATGAGCTCACATTGGCTCTCGGTGCAAGATGTCTCGCTAGATGTCAGCTCAAGTTTGAATTTGCAAAAGAGTGCAATTTGGTGATGAAGCCACGTTCCCAGCTTCGAAATTGGCTGGATTCGGTAGGCGTGGACGACTCAAACTGGGAGAAATTTGAGAAAGATCTTCTGGTGCCAATCTGCGCCTCAAGGGGAACGCCGCCAATTCGAGAATGTACTCGAAAAATTCAAGCCAATGCATTCGTTTTGGAAACTTTTGAAGGCGTCATAGAAGTCAGATGTCTCAACCAAAAAGTGAGTTATTTTACACTGAAACAGTGCGCATTGATAAATATTATTTTTCAGGCTGAAGGATTCTGTGTGCTTCTACAACCACTCCATGCAGTCTCTCATCGAAATTTATGACAGATTCCGAAGAAGAGTACTGGCTGGAAATCATTGAGCTGCTCCACACACTTTCTCTTTTTTTCCAGTATCTATTGCTCCAAAATTCTCAATGTTCCATTTTTCTCCACTTCCACGATTCCAATTTACCTCCGTGTATTGATCTTCATATGTTTTTCCCGAGAGCTCTTGAAAAACTTTCCCATCAGATTCTTTGTTACTCGCTGTCACATAAGCTCCTTAATTCCACACCCTTCAACTAATTGTGTCTCCTCCCAAATTCCGATTCATCGTTTCTCACTCTTCCAAACTTCAAACTTCACTTTCTGAGCTAGTTGTATACTCAGAAGTTAGCAGAGACCTTTCTTCTAAATGCTTTTCACTTATTGTCACATAGGCTATTTCGTTCCCGGCTTTCCAATTGATCTTGTATCCTCCGAAGTTATGATTACTCGTTTTCCACTCTCTCACATCATTCAGTCACCAATCTATCCTCACGTACTTTTCCCCTGTGTTCTTCTGTTCGAATGCTTCTCATTTGAGTTGAATCAAGCTTTTCCGTTCTAGCTTCCTATTGTAATTTGAGTTTACAATAGCAAAAATCCACCAAGAGCCTGACAAATTCTTACCCTCTTATGTAAAAATTGAATCATCGGAATTCCTCACTCACAAATTTTCAGTTACTTTTGAACTCGTAAAATGTCCCACGATCTTCTATGTTTTGAACTCCGATTCTTCCCAAAGCGATATTTCCTTTGTGCCGGGTTATTTCATTCTTTGCAAATATCTCTCACTTCAAATGACCACCTCCCTTTTTTTCTTCGAAAAATCAGTATTACCAATATCATTCAAATATATGTATCAAATTGAAAATCTCGAAATAAACCAAACTTCTCTAAAACATAGTGTTTAGTTATTATTTTCTTCCAGGTTGGTTCAATATTTACCATAACATCAAATGTTCGAAGCGAACGGTTTTGTTGTCAAAGCCTAGAGGCCAAAAATATTTTTTTTTTCCGTTAAAATAAATAAAAATCAGAATAAAATTTTTTTCAAAAAAATTTTAATATATTTTGAGATTTCCAGAAAAAACAGAAAATAAACAAAAAATCGGGGAGTGAGGGATCAAACCTAACTCAAGTCAGTACTGTCCATCTGTCTTCACCACTACACAGTAATAAAACAGTAAGGACATATGTAAATCTTTATTTTTAAGTGATTGCTGTGCTGATAGGTAATTTTAAAATAACTACGATCCGTTGAAGTTTCGACATAAATCAATTATCTATGTTTTCAGAGGAATATGAGCTATCGAATCTGGTCAAAATTCTTCTTTTATAGTTTCTTTACGTTTAGAATGAATTTTGGCAAATTTTAAAATTCTTCAAAAATTTGAAAAAATTGCCAAGAGGCTTATTACCCCATGGCAAAAAATTTCCGAAAAACTCTTTTTAGCCCCTTCAAACATTTACTCAAAAAGTGAGAAATTAGTACTGAAATCACGTTAAAGGCTAAAAACTTTTTTGTGAGGGGCAAGGGCCAAAAATTAAAACAGCACTGAAATAAGCATGTTTGAAAGTACCAATGACCAAAGTTTCAGAGGATTCTCAAAGATGTTCTGAAAACACTGTCTTTACCTTAAATTTAGTTTTGCTCTGAGCTCTATTTTCTCGATTCCTTTAGAAGATAGATGAAAAATTACTGATAATATGACAATCATTTTATCAGTGAACAACGTATTTATATCATTGAGCTTAAAAGCAGAGCTCAAGGGTTAATTGAGCTTAAAGGTAGAGTATTTGAAAATAATTAAAATATCAAAACATTTCGCAAAAATGGGTATTTTCGGAAACAGCGAAAATGTTCGACTTTTCAAAATGAAGCTCAATTATCTCGGTTGCTGTGAGAGACATCAAAAATCTGTCAACTGTAAAAACGTTGGTGATAATATGAGCAAAATTTTTTCAGTTAACTACTTTTTGATATCTCGTATAGTAACCGAGGTATTTGAGCAAGTTTAAAATCGAAATTTTGTGTATCGAAAATAATTTTTTGATAAGAATTAGATGTTTCTTTCTTTTTCGCAGTGGTGTTTTGAGGGCTCAATATCTGGTTCTCAAAGTGGTTTAAAGTGCCAGATTGTTTTTGTTGGTGAGCTGTGTTCAGTGACTATTAGATCGTAGATTTGTTAATTTTTAACTAACTCCGTGTTGGAGAGCTGATTGTCAACTGATTGTGTCCTCTCACAAGTTCGGAGGTTTCGTTTCTTACTCTTCCAAACTTCAAGTTTCACTTTCTAAGCTGTTTGCATCCTCAGAAGTTTCCAGAGTTCTTTCCTCCAAATGCTTCGCTTTCATTATCGCATAAGCTTCTTTATTTCATGCCCTTCAGCTGATCGTATCTCCTCTCAAGTTCTGATTTATCGTTCCCACTCTCGCAATCTTTAGACTTCATTCTGAGCTAGTTATTGGAAGCTTGTCAAGCGCCCATTTCTATCCTAATTCTCTTTAAATCCAAGTTCTTCTCCTCAACTCTGATGATCTTTTGCTCCAAGTTTTCTCTTCTCGCATTTCGCTGTAATTTTCGCTCTCAAAGTTCGAATGCCCAAATGTGTCTCTCAAAAATTCTAGCAAAACTCTCCTGTCCATTTTTGTTCTACCTCGACGATGCAACGTAACATATTGATTTTGACCGAATTAAGACACATTATCTGGGAGAATTGAGATCGGGCGATGGCAATGGGAAAAAATCAAAATGATCGTAGAAGTCTGATATTGTATGTGGTGGTTATAGGGGGTTTTCTAAGTCTTTTGACTATAGTACCCATAGGCCACGTCCCCTTCTGGGCGCGAAATAATACCGTAACTCTGAAAAATTAATTTTGTTCGAAATAATGATATCGATTCAAATGTTTTAGATTTCAGTTCCCAGTACTATTATCATCATTTTTTGTATTGAGAAGAATTTCCTACAGTAACCCTGAAGTAGAGAAAATTTTTCTTTTTTGAATTTGTTTCACTTTTTTCGGGATTTCTCACTATTGATTACCGAACCAAACCCCGGAAATTCGATACTTTGGATCTATTTACACTATTTTCATTATATATAAAGCGCTAGACGCGTCTGTTGGTACTAGTGTCCGGCTGTCCGGTTTTGGGTTTCAAATAAGAATTAGGCCGCCGCCAAAACTGAACCCGCCGCCCACAAGGGCTGGCATAAGGGCTGCGCATGCACCCAGTTGTGCCATGAAGGCAACACCAGGAGAGAAGGGATGGAGTACATGTTCTACCCTTAAAAAAAGAGAAAGCTAAAAGTGAGGGGTGGAGCGAAGAACCAGTAAAAAATATTGAGTTACGCCGAAGGCGCAGAAGCCAGCAGGCCGGTGATATCATAATGTCATAAAAATAAGAACGCCCTCAAAAGCATACTTGTAAAATTCAGGGCCGGCCCGCCAAAGCCCGGGCCCGGTGTCTAAAATACTGTATTTGTGACCCAAATTTTGAGCTCTTAATCTAATTTTTTTGAACCAATTTTTTTGTTTTCTTGGATTGTTTGTCTGTTTGATCAAAAAAGTTCAAAAAACTCAAAAAAAAATTTTTTTATTAAAGAAATCACATAAGAAACCCCCTTATGAGTTTTTTGCAATTTTCCATACAAGTGAAATGACGGTCCCGCCGAGCCCGGGCCTTGAAAATTGAAAAAAAGCCCGGCACGGTCCGACCCGTTACAAGTATTCTCAAACAGGTTATTTTCGAAACCAATTTCGGTAAAAAATGAAAATGAAGATAATGATTGGTCTAACTTGGAATGGATTACCCTTGCTATTTTTATCATTTTTTGTGTTGAGACATAGATTTCAACTCGTTTCCTTTCGGCTGAAAATTTAGATTTTTCATCCAATTTGAAAAAAAAATAACTGAAAATCTGTCGTCGTGAAAAATTTTAACATTAATATAAACAAGATAATGCCAGACTCAAAATCAGCGAAAAAAAAACATCAGAAAATAATTATTTGAGTTTGAATATCTTTAGCATAAGGCAAGCTTTAGTCCTAAAAGTGACGAAAAATGAAAAAAAAGGTTTTACCATGTGGGAGAGTATATGGTAACATAAAATTCGCTCAAAATCGATTATCTCCAATAGGTAGTTACTGTAAGATTCAATCTCATCGTATTCGTACATTTCCAGTAGCTCAAAAAAAAGCTGCAAAAATTGATTCCAAGTCCATTTTTAGTGGAAACATACGAGCTCCAGAAAAGCACGAAGACGATGAGGTTGAATTTTGAAACTACGCCAGAATACTACCCATCAAAAAAACTACATCTGGTGAAAATTACATCAAAATTGGAGATGGTCGATTTTGTGGGAATTTCAGTTCTGTTCTATGCAAATCCCATTATCTTATCACAGCTCACAAGTTTTGTTTCATCGAACGCCCTTGTCAATTGTTTTTCTACATGCAATTCTCCACGATAATTTTGAATATTCAAAATGAAGATGACATTTTTTTCCAGACATTCATAACGTTGGAACAACTTTGAAAATGTATGATATGAAAATTAAGACTTCAAAAACTAAAGTTGATATAAAATCTAACGTGTCTCCCTCCCTCCCTCTCTCGCGCGCTCTATCTTAGAGACTCATACTCGATTGTCCGCAACATGGCGTCTCGGTGTTTGCACTGGGTTTGCTGTCTATTCTACGACGCACAACTGATCTTATCTCCGCGCGCGATCTCCGGACCACTCGCCATTCCGGTGCAATGAAATAGTCGCACTCCCCCTGTCTTTCTCTTCTTCTTCTTCTCTCAGCCCGTTTTTATCGATTTTTTTGATATGAGTCTTTTTCACTTCAAAGGTCTTTGTAAAGCGTACCAGCTCTTTTTCCTCATTAGTTGAACAACGACACCCGGATCGTCCACTTTGAGCCTATATATCTCATTTTCTGCAAAAGATATCAAAAAGTGGCTGACTAGTAAAATGTTGCTGATATCCTGATAAACATTTTACTAGTTAACCACT